CCGGGTAATAAAACTATTCTTTGTCTACCCCGTTCTATATTTCTATACCCGGTTTATGGTGGGCCCGGTCTCAATAAAACCATCATATACTACAATAATTAAATGATTCATAAAAAATAGACTAAAAAAGCATTTAATTTGTTAATTAAATGATTCATAAAAAGTAGACTAAAAATATTTAATTTATCTTGTGAAAAAATGAAAGAGATAAAATAAATTAGAAGGGATAAGGAAAAGTGTTGCTAATGAGATTTAAACCTATGATATAGGCCTTTTAACATCAAATTTAGAGTTCAACCAATTAATTTACTTAAACTACCATGATCCAACATGTGCCATGTGTGGTCTCTATCATGAAGATACCATGCATGCTTTAATATTGTGTGGTTTTGCTAATTCCATATGGCGTGAATCCCACCTTTCCATCTCCAATATTGTTGCAAATATTTTTCACATTTGGTTTGATGAAGCTATGAATGTTTTAGACACGGATGATATCATGTTGACAACTGCCCTTTTATATTACATTTGGAAGGCGAGAAACGACGCAGTTTGGGATGTTTTCCTCCCGTCGCGAAATAAGCTTGTTGCTACTGCCACTGCCGCGCTGCATGCATGGCGCTCCGTCCATTCGCGAAGCAGCCCGAAGATGATTCCGGAGGAGACTGGCCCAGGTCGCGCTACTACCCCCATGCGGAAATGCTTCTTCGACGCCGGCTTTCATCCTTCGACCAACAAAGCCACGGTAGGAGCTGTTTTATTCGACACAGACGGAAGCTGCAAGGCGGCTTTCAATAGCAATCTCCCGAACTATTTTTTCCCTCTAATGACAGAATCTTTAGTGTGCTAAGAGGTATTATCCTGGCTCAGGGATCGAGGAGAGCATATGATAGAGCTCTACACAGACTGTTTGATTCGTCAGCGCTACTTGTCCGCGGCCGCCGTTACTCTTCGTTCATACGTCGACTACGCCATTGACGGTTGCAGATCCTATATTAATCAGTGCTTTATTAATTTTGTTCCTAGATCAGCTAATTTAATACTCCCTCCGTCCAATTTTACCTGTCTTACTTTCCTTTTTAGTTTATCCCAAAATAGTGTTGTCTTTCCAAAATTGAACATAACTATCACTCTACATTTTCCAATTTACCCTTTTGACTTTTCAAATTTCTAGAGGTAGTGCAAATAACACCTATTTTTGAGGGGCAAAATTGAAAAGTTAGTAACATTTATTATATATTATATTAAAAACCGTGCAAAAAGCAAATGAGACAATCAATTAGGGACGGAGGGAGTAACTCGTCCTCTTGCTTCTACATTTTTTGCTCAGTCTACTACTTTGTATTGGGATTCTATCCCTCCCGACTCTATTTCAGTTTATCTTTAATATATGTCATTGTTGGTTGCTTTAAAAAAAAAAAGCTACTTAAACTATAGGAAATTTAATTTTAACATAAATATATGTTTTATATAACATTTAATGCTATATATGTATATATATACAAACATATATATAAAGGGATGGGCTGGGGGAGGGAGCAGCTGTCCCCATAGTGGCTCTACCCCTAATTATATATTATTTATACTAGGAGTTAATTCTAGCAAAGGTCCTTTGACTATAGTGATTTTTCACATTTGATCATCGTCTTTTAATTTGGACAATGTAACACTTGACTATTAAAATCTTTCCACTATTAGTCCTTTCGTCAGTTCGGGGTTATTTAGACGTTAAGTTTGAGGGTAAAAATGTTATTTGTCTTCTAAGAATGAGGAGATCTGCAGGGTTTCGAGCTATGGCCGACAATTAGCAATAGTACTACCATATGCATCAACAAAGGCACACCACCGCCACCCTCATCAGTCGTTATATTATAGACCGCGGTGCATGTGCACCGCGGTCAAAAACGACGCCGTTTCTTTAAGTAAAGAAACGGCCCGCCGTTAGAGTTAACGGAGTCCGTTTGTTTGGTATATTAAACACCAACTGACACTACAGTATATCCAAACCGACACTGCAGTTATATCAAAATGATACTGTAGTTATAGTGAAATGAAACTGCAATGTATATAAACTGAAACTGAATAACATTTCACATATTTGAGTGTATATTGTACAATGAAGCTGTAATTATATCAAAATGATCATGTAGTTGTGTTTTAATGAAACTATAGTGTATATAAAATAAAATTAAATAACATTTTCACATATTTGAGTCTATAAATATCGAATGAAACTATAGTTATATCGAAATGAAACTGTAGTTGTGTTCAACTGAAACTGCAGTGTATACAAAATGACACTGAATAACAGAGTTACTTTTTGCAAAAGGTGCGAAACGGCGAAAATAAACACTGTTAATTTTCATTTAAAAAAAAAGACGCGCGGTGCATAATCGATTATGCACCGCGGTGCATAATATAATTTGCCCACCCTCATCTTGTGGATTTCTTAGTAGGTGTCGCGGTTGGGCAGCCCAACAAAAATCACACCGAGCAGCGACACTCTTTTTCAATATTCATGCTCTTTGGAGAAAGGTGATTCATATTTATTTGTGATTATCCTTGTATAATAGATTAATAGGTAACTTCCACCATTGTGATGTTATTATCAGTTTGTCAGCATTTATAATTGCAGAATGCGTTCTGATATATATAGATCCAGATTCTAGCCCTGCTATTGTTGGTTGGGCATCAAAAATTTTCTCTACGGCAGTATTTTTCTTATATGATCAGGTTGGGAAAGTAGTAGAATCCTTAATTCCTTTGCATCATTGCTTCTTATGCCCTCTTGCTTGAATTTTCTTCTTTCTTGCTTCTTTACTTTGCCAACTTTTATTGTTGTCACTTGTTTGTATGTCATTCACCTGTTTGACAGATTCACCCAAATGATGCTTTTTAATTTGGGCAGGAAATGATCCGAAATTTGGAGGTAATATATCTCTTCATTTATGAATTCGGAGTAGTAAGTTTTGAAGGAATTAAATGTCTTCTCATTTATCTAATATTTTTCATTCTTGTCTGATACCTTCATTTCTCAGTTCTTTTTCTCTTTTCCATCTTGAGCTTGCAGCTGTTTGCATAAGTATGTCATGCATACAAATGTTTTGAGAAATGAAATTATGCAATAGAATAATTGTGGATCAATGAACATGAATAGAATAGGAGAGTGTTTTGATTACGGAAGCTTATTCAAATATTTAATTATGTCGATTTAGTTCAATAATTTCCTGAAATTTCAGTAGGACATTTAATTTCCAGTTTGAATTAGATAGTTTCCTAGCACTTCTAAAATGACAAAGTTGTATACATTTAGTTATAAGATCTTAAGAAACTTATTTTTACATCTTTTCGTGCAGAGTTGAGGCTATGCACTATTAGGAATGTATGCTACACCTACACAAGCAGTAATGGTGGCTGTACTGGGGTGAACTACGAGGACTGTGTAAATCAAGCTTGCGTACACGAGATGCAAAACTTGTTGGAAGAGCAGGTGAGTTCCCTCCGCCAAACGCCGTAAGCAACAATAAGCCTCCCTACAGTATCAGTAGAATCTCACCCTAAGAAGAGGAAGAGTCGGCGCCACTCCTTTTTCTCCCGTTTGAACTCGTCTACCGACCATGGCACCCTCATCCTAAGCTGAAAAATCCAGACAAATTTCTACTCTAAGAAGAAGAAGACAAAGGACATTTTTACTCAATTACACTATGTAGTCAACTTAAGGAGTTTATTTCACCCTTTTACTATTACTCCGTATATATTATATATATAGTTAATTCTACCAGCGGTCTCTTATTTTTTGTGACAATTTTAAATTTAGTTCTAACTATCGTTTTTGCTATTTAACATCCATATTATTATTTTTTAGACATTTTTAGTCATTCTCATAACTTTTCCTATTTTTAGTAAGTACAGTTTTGTCATTTATATTTTTCTTTTGTTATTTTTCCGGTTTCAACCGGTTTAATTGATTTAGAACAAATATAATAAACATTAATATTTTGTTCAATACTTTCACATGATAACCTACGACACATATCTCATAACACATGAAACATGTAAGGAAAAAACTTTTATTACCAAAAATAAGGAGTTCATAGTACAACTAAGATCTCAGTCACATACACAACAAGGTAAATCTAAAGCTTCCTACACCATAATCTCATTGCACAATGAATCACTCTATACTACCACCAGTAATCCAATTGTGCATGACAACACACTACAAAAAAAAAAAAAAAAAAAAAAAAAAAGGACATGTAGTGAAGATAAAGATAATGACAATGCTATCCAAAATGGAATTAAGAAAGAAATTTAAACCAAAAGTAGTATTTATTTAGACTATCGCTTTTAGACTAAGTATTTAGACTGGAGTTATTACAAAGTTATATTACAAACATTTATTTTAGTAAAAATTATAATCAATCTCTCGTATATTATTAATATACTTTGAAATACTTATTTAAAATAATCATTAAGTATTATCCCATAAAAAAACTAGTATATATACACCCAGCGGGCCTGCACAAATTATTTCATAACAAAAACAAAAACTGAAGTGATAGATCCATTATCTTATACGACAACAAAATGGAATAATTAAATAAAACACAAAAAAAAAAAAGAAAAAAGTGAAACCGTTAGTTATTAATGAAAATGAAAATAAAAGTGGATTATACTTGAGGTTTTTGGGTGGTATAATGATAAATTGGAGATTTTTTTTTTTTTAAAAAAAAAAAGAAAAAAAATTGTAATGATATGAAGAAGAAATAAGAATATGACACTTTCTAAAAGTTTATAAAATAAGGACAAATTTTTTTGAAATTTAATTTGTTAAAATATGACAAAATGTATGTCCTACCTGCGTTTCTAGTATAAATAAGAGTTCGTTCTATTTTAGCAAAAACAATCATTTTGAAAAATTCGTTTGCGAGCCTGAAACGAAACTCAAGTGATAAATGAATTTTTTCTTATTTTGTACAACTTTAAAAAAATGTCTTATTTTTATAATAAATTATAACACATTTGAGTGATTTTCCCTAAATTAAATTGGATGGTCACACTTTAGCTTCAATAACTTGCTCTCAAGCAAACACATTGTACTAAGCCGTACTCCTGACTTTATTTCTGCTTTATACCGTGATTTTGTTTGCTTTCAAAAAAAATTGGATTGTCAGAAAATGTCGAGAATTTCGAGGATGAAATTGTTGCAGAGTGGACAATTGCCCTTCTCAGCCCAGAGCTCCCTTGAGCAGAGCCTGCAAAAGGTGTGTCCGCATGGCACGAACGCCTCTCCTTTGTGTCTAACCATACAGACACAGCAGTTATGGAATTCTCCGCCGTAATCTTCGCAACCGTCTTCTTCTTCCTCCTCTTCATCCATCATCAATCCCCCTTCCGATTCCTCCAACAACGCCATTAACGACATCCTCATCCCCGCTTCCTCTCCTTCTCCTCCCTCCCCGCTTCCGCTCTCTTCTCCTTCCATCCCCGATCTTTTGATCGACGCCGAGTTCTGGAACCTCAGGCTCCGGCTCCGGCTTTGGTTCCTCGACAACGACATTCTATTCGACGGAGAGGATCGAAGCTCTCTCCTCCCCGATGCGGCTAGCTCCGGCTTGTATTCGTCCGCCGGATACTCTCCCGAAGGAAAGCGATTGGAAGCTCTCCGGCTCATTGTCCGGCTGCTCATCGGATGGATCGGTACGTCCGAGGCGGGGATGGGAGTGCTGGAAGTCCAGCCGTCGCCGGCGTCCTTCAGGCCGAGTTTCTCCTTGAAATGTTTCCATGTTTTCTTGTGGTCCTTGCCGCCGTTGGGGTCGTCTTTTATGGCATCCAGGTGAGTCGTCCTGCTCTGCTGCTGAGCCGTCGTCGTTGTCGTAGTTTTGCTCTGCTGAGCTGTCGTCGTTGTCGTAGTCGTAGTCGTAGTCTTGCTCTGCTGAGCTGTCGGAGGAGGAGGCGACACCTCATCTTCGCCGCCTAACACCGCGAAGAGCGTTAGACCGGCTAGATTGTCGCGACGGCCGTGAGGATCGGCCGGTTTTTCATCTGTTGACCCGGCCGGCTTTCTCCTTCCTCCGCCTCCGTGTTTCATTCACACTTACTAGAATTAGGTAAAATTATTAACTGCGATTTTAATTTTTTTTTTTTCTGATCTCTGCGTTTTCTTTTTTTTTTTTTTTGTTGTTTTGGCTGTCTGTTTGTTTGGTTGGTAATTTGTTAGAGATGGAGGAGAAGAAGAAGGCAAGCGTGGGACGAGGGAGATTTGCTGTGCTACAATGGAGCGAGTCAGACGGAAGTTTTCAATTGCTCACCATCTGTCACTGCATGTAACATATATAGCATTATTACGATGAATTTCTTTTTTCTTTAACCATCAAACTATAAATAAATCATACAAAAAATATAAAGGAAAAATTGTAAAAAATGCTCCTCTATAATATGTCAATTATCAATGTCACCCCTAAATTATGAGTGATGTAAATGTTGCCCCTCAATTATCAAAATGGTGCACATCTAGCCCCTCCCGTAACGGACCTGTGATTCCCCACCGCTATCCATCGCTAGTACTTCGAATCGAGGGAGGAAAAAAATAACTAAATTACATATTTACTCTGACTTAACGGTGTCGTACACTAATGGGGAACTACATGTCCATTACGGGAGGGGCTATATGTGCACCATTTTGATAATTGAGGGATAACATTTACACCACTCATAAAATTCAGGGGTGACATTGATAATTGACATATTATAGAGGGACATTTTTTACAATTTTCCCAAATAAAAAATATATATTATCGAAAATCAATTATCATAATTCATATGTAATTTTAAGGTGTGTGATTTCTGTGTTGTGTGCTTAAGGTGCGTTAGTTGTTGAAACTTGTATGTCAGCCTAAAACTTTGAGTGCGTGATTTTCCTTATTAAGGTGTGTGATTTGTATATGCTAAGGTGGTGTGTGAAACTTAAAGGTGTGCCATTTTAAAACTTTAGGTGCATGGTTTGTGTTCTTAAAGTACTTTGTTTGTGTGCTTAAGATGCGTTGTTTGTGTACTTAAGGTGTTTAAGGTGCGCCATTTTAAAACTTTAGGTGTATGGTTTGTGTTCTTAAGGTGCTTTGTTTGTATGCTTGAGGTGCGTGATTTGTGTACTTAAGGTGCGTCCTTTTGTGTCATCTGCACTTTCACACGGGAAGTTATCTTCGCACCTGATCCAGTCTATATAGGGATGAGTTCTGGTGCGGGGTTGCTCCCAGGTAAAAAATGACATTAGATCTGAGTCATTGATTAAATCTAGATTAACGGCTCAAATCAATGAAAATTTTATTTTAAAAAAAAAAAACGCACGTCCTCCATTAATGCTCTCATCTGGTCGAGCACTAGGGATGACAGACAACTTAAAGGAATTCATGAAATTGTTATGAAATTAATAAAAATTTATTTTATTTATTTTTTCTTAAGTAGGAAAAATAAAGCACCTTAAGAAGGAAAATAACACACCTTAAAGAAAGAAAATAATGCACCTTAAGAAAGAAAACAATGCACCTTAAGAAGGAAACTCACACACCTAAAACTTTAGCCCGACGCACCTTAAGAAGGAAAACAACATACCTTAACCCTTAGGCGAACGTAACACACCTTAAGTTTCAACAACTGACGCACCTTAAGCACACAAATCATGCACCTTAAGAACGAAAACCACGCACTTAAAGCTTTATATCGATACTTAAGTTTATAACAACTGACACGCCTTAAGCACACAACACAAAATCACACACCTTAAGCACAAAAATCATGCACTTTAAGGTCATCTCCAACCAGGCGCCAAATCACCAAATTTGGAGGAAAAAATGGCATAGTAGTTCTCCAACCAAGGTGTTATTGCACCAAATTTTTGGTGTAGCATGAATAATTGTAGCGCCATATTAGGCGATGCACTATTCATCCTACGTCATTCTTGATGTAGATTTGTTTTTCCTATTTGCCCCTGCTTTCTTTTAATCTTTTTTATAATTACTTTTGTATCCTTTTTGTTTTTTTTTTTTTTTTATATATTTACATATTTATATATTTTGTTAAATATTTAAATATAAATTGTATATTATTTTAAAAAAAATTACATTATTTGAAAGATCTCAACAAGACGATTAAAACAAGACTAATATTAAATATAATTTAATAAAAAATTAAATTACATAAAACATAATTAAAGTTTAATTTATTAAATAACTATATGTAATATTAAAATAATAAAAGTATAAATATAAACTTTTAATTTATGAGAATATAAATTATTTTAGTGTAGGAATAAAATTTGGTGTAAATAGCTTGGAGATAAAAAAAAAAAATTGGTGTAAGAATATGCTGAGAATATTCATTTTGGTGTAAAATTTGGTGCAAAATTTAGTATTTTGGGTTGGAGATGGTCAGGAAGGAAAACCACACATCTAAAGTTTTAGGTCGACGCAACTTAAGTTTCAACAACTGACGCACCTTAAGCACACAAATCACGCATCTAAAGCTTTAGACCGACATATACCTTAAGCACACAACACAAAAACTACGCACCTTAAAAAGAAAAATCACGCACGTTAAATTTGACCTAGATGCAAAAAAGACCAAATTACGATCGCATATTTTTTTAATTATTGATAATCCTAAACGTTGATCTTTGACAAAATCAATGACTCTCATCTCACCCCACAATCGCTGAGACAGCCAACTGCACGGAACCCATATATATATATATATATATATATATATATATATATATATATATATATATATATATATATATATATATATATATATATATATATATATATATATATACGCCAAGCAATGGCAAAAAGTAAATACAAAATAAAGGAGTTAATTCCAGCAAAGGTCCTCTGACTATAGTGATTTTTCACATTTGGTCCTCGTCTTTTAATTTGAACAAATATGACACTTGACTATTAAAATCTTTCCACCATTGGTCCTTCTGTCACCTTACCGTTAGTTTGATGTTAAGTTAAGGGGTGTATTCGTCCTATCATAGATTCACAACCTATGTGTCTTCTCTTTGCTTTATTACACCACCAAACAACACACCTCTCTCTCCATTAACCCACTATTCTATACTCAGGAATCCAAGGACACATTTTGTAAAGAGAGAGAGAAGCAAGAGCAAAACACATTTTCTAGACAGAGAGAGCCAAAGTTTTCTGAAATCTATGAGGGGCCATGGATTCCAGATCTATGGTACCTGCAAATTTTCACCTTAGCTTTTTCGTACTTTTCTTATGTTTGGTTTTGACAGGTGCTACAATATTGCAAGGAAACTCGCTCCAGAAACACTCTGGAGCGGCGAATGAATTCAGCTGCCCAAATCAATTATATTCGAACTCATTATTACTGGCCCTTTTGGATTCTCACTACACGGAGCTATTTGAGCCTGTGGAGAAGGCGTTATTGCTGCATGCAGATAGTTGAAGAGGTTAGTTGTTTCTCGCCATAATATCACCATTTTAATTTCCGCCGAGGAATGAGGCTTTGGAGCGAGATTTGGACATGGATTTTAAGTGATTCTTGCAATCTTGCTTGGTTAACTGAAAGACTAATGGTGGAACGATTCTGATAGTTAGGGGTTTAATTCGTCTAAATTAAAAGATGAAGATTAAATATGAAAAATCACAATAATTAGAAGACCTTTGCTGCAATTAACTCCAAAATAAAGTGTAGGGTGTGCGAGTACATAAAGGGTAGAATTGGAAAAAGAGTTAATGTTGGGGAGTAGAAGTGCAAATTCACGTAAACAAAAAGCAAGAATCTTTCGCGGCTTCTCGATCCTTCCACGAGCTGACTGCCACAACGAATTCATCACTTTACAACTACTAATATATCTATTCCCCACTCTTCCATCAACCTTCAATACAACATCCTCGCACCCTTCAATCAGGTAAAGTCCGCGTCTTTCTCAAACTTTGTTTTAATGTTTGATAATTGAGCATGAGCAATTCTTGGGTCCTTTTTTTTTTTTTTTGACTTTTCATTTTTCTGTGTTTTAATGTAATGTCTATTGACTGTTATACATAGACAACAATCGGAGATATTGGTGGTTTGGTGGCTGTTGGAGAAATTGAGAATGACTCATATCCTTACGATATGTTTCTCATCTCTGATTTTAGATCATGCTATTTTTTTCTTCTTTTGTTTAGAAGCATAGCCATGTTTCATGTTTGGTTGAAAATTTTAGGCTTTTGTTGGGGTCAAAACTCCAAATATTAAGAGAGATTAGTGTTTGTTTGATTGTTGTTTGACTTAACTTAAGCTAACGGGGAAACCAGAGAGAAAGGGATAGGGAAAGGGCTCAAGCAAGGGCAGGCCACAAGCCCAAGCAGTCTAAAGGCGATGGATTGACCCCCGAGCAAAGACGAGAGAGGTGAAATTTTATTTTATTTTTTGAGATTTTGATTTGTGTGATTAGTAATTACAAAATTGTGATGCCATGGAATGGAATCAGGGACGCAAAGGCACTTCAAGAAAAGGCAGCTAGGAAAGCGGCGGCTCGAGGGAACAATACTACCAATAATAAATAGTGTACCGGATTGGGCAGTCGCCGGTGTTTGTAAAATTTAATTTAATTTGTTGTGTCTGCTGTGGCCATTTGTTGTCTTTTCGACCATTAACTTGTTGTAACTCAAAACTCATTTTGAACAAAATTTCCTGTTATTCTTTTTAAAACTATTCCTTTTCTCCCATTTTAATTTTTCTAAGCAAAAAGAGAATATATTAAAAAGCACCTAGGCTCGACTCATCCATGCTTGATGCTCCTTCAGCCTTGACTAAGGAGTGAGCATAATGGATTAATGGCTATTCACTCTACCAGCATAAACAACTACATAACCATTCAAGCTATCAATAATCAATAATATAATAAACCTGTCTGTATGAGCCGCTAAGTTAGTTGAAAAGAATAATATAACAGACCCAATATACGAACAATCCTCCCCAATTTCAAAGGCTTGAGAGTTGAGACGACACTTAAGCAATCCTCTTATTCTTGTTCTTCTGTCCAATTTTAGTTTATTTCACTAGTCAAATCAATTTTATTTATTTTTTAATTTAATTATTTATTTTTAAATATATAAATTTTATATATTATTAATTAATACTAAACATGAATTAAAAATTTTAACAATCCATATGCACATGCATACATATTAATGCTCCTGCTGCATTTGGGAGGGGAGAACCACCGTTCCAACTGCTGCTCATGCTCAAACACCTTCACACTTGAGAGCGAATGAATTAAAAGTCTCTAATTTTTTTACAAAAACAACAACAATTAAGCTTAAAAAGTAAAAAAATATATATATTTTTAGATTTGTAAAGTTGATCTCAAAGAAAGTAAAAAGAAGAAACGTAATCAATCTCTCGCATATCCTATCCTATCCTTGCTGGTTATTTATTGTCAAATGCACATTGATGCACACATCATCCCATATGAAGAAGAAGAATATGATGAAGTGGAAAGCAGCATAACAATTTACAACAAATGCATAGCCTGGCTCTGGCTGCCTCCCAGTGCCACAACCCAATCACTATATTACTTACTAACATAGTATACACTAATATTCACAATTTCCAACACCATTTCGCTATAGAAATTATAGCTACCCCCTCAATTCAAAGTAGCAATAATACATGGGATCAACTACACAGATAACATAAGCCAAAGCAAAAAACAGCCCCCACAGATACAATAGGGGAACCAAGGATTTGGGGAAAAAAGATTTTTTTTTTAAACAAAAAAAAAAAAAAAAAAAAAAAAAAAAAAAAAACATAGATGATACCCTGTACACATACCTCTATATCTAGCACTATCTTCCTTACTTAGATTCAAGGGCAAAAAATATACAAAACCCAAGAGTTTGCCTGTCAACATCCCTAGTCTACCAAAACCTGGACTTCACCTGCACAACAGAGCAATAACCAAGATTCAGCAAGTAATAACACTTCTTTGCAACAAAATGTAAACTTTTCTGTTACTAAATCTGCCCGATTTACCCCACCATACGGGTAAATGTGTAAAGCACTGCTACACCGTATTTATCATAAATGGTGGGTGCAAAACTCAAAAAAAGGATTACCTGTACACTGCGATTTTGAAGGCATGCCGACCCAATTAGGGGTATGACCAGCCACCATTGGAATTACCTCCAATCTTGTCAAGTGCACATCAATCCAGTCCACAATCACTGGGGTCAGGCATACAACTGCTATTCCCTGATTGCAGAACCTGCAGCTGCTGGAAAATGTTTCAGGGTGTAAGGCTACAATTGTTGCTGTGGTTGGTGAACAGGTGAGTGGGTTTGCAAGTGGGAGGGCTGCTTCCATTGCATGCTAGCATCATGCCCCGCAGGGGACAAGTTGCCTGAAGATTGCCTTTGTCTTAACCCCTGGCCAACTTGAGAAGAATGCTCACCACCAGCAGCAGTATTTGGCAGAGATCCTATGGAATCAAATAATGGCTCAGCAGCCTTCCACTGGGAAACATTAGAAGAAACAACAGGTGCCGCATTAGTTGTTGCATTGTTGCACTCCCTAGCTGTTGCTGTCATTGTACCAATAGGAGAAGAGTTGCTTGCAGCATGCTGATTGAACTGAGATTCACCAGCATGTAGCTTGTTCAATGGTTCAGAGTTCATCAAGCGGTTTGGTTGCACCATTCTCTTGGAAGTAGGATGACTTTGATTTACTAAATTTTTCTGTGTCTGCATGAGAGGCTGTGAATGTGGAACAGGTTGATGATTGGAAGAACTAATGACTGGCGTTGGAATAGATTGATTGCAGGCCGGTGATGTTGAGCCTGACGCAGTTGGAAGACCATGACCTTTACTCATATTATCAGGATGAGAAGTCTGTTGGTGAGGATTCGTTGATGAAGCAGTTTGGCCAGAATATATCTTTTGCTGAGGCTGTTGCATCTTAGAATTAAGGGCTGTGGATGATTTTGTAGGTTGAACAGGGTTTATTGTTGACGCAGGATACAATCCTTGATTTTGCATCGAGTTAGTCATCTGATCACCTTTTTCTAAGGCTGGGATCCCTGAATTTGAAGAGACTCCATTCAACACAGAGGGATCAATCTGCTGCATGTTCTGGTTCAGTGTGTTCCCCCTCCCTACTCCTTTCAAAAGTTTAGCATTCGGCTGCCGCTGCTGAGGGTGATTCCTGCTAGTTTGTTGGAGTGGCTGCTGTTGCTGTATCTGATGTGGCCGTTGCTTGTTCAACTGATTAGTTGGACCACTGCCCCCACTTTGAGCACTTCGGGCAAGGCCATGAGGCAACATAGGATGTTTCAGCTGATTCTGTGGCACTGAGGGAGTTGATGACAGAGGAGAAAGTGATACAGGTGGTTGGGGACTTTGCAATGGGGCTGATACAGGGAGTTGGTGTTGCTGTACAGGCGGTATCAAAGAATTTGACGAACCAAACTTCTGCTTTTGCTGCATAAGTCGCTGTTGCAGTTGCCTCTCTTTTGCCAAGTGCAATGCGTAAGTTTGTTGCTGTGAGTTGGTGGCATGGTTGGCACCTTGAACATGAGAATGGTGAGGACTAAGCATATGTGGCGATTGAGCCTGCTGATGATGAGGTGGGTATGTTGGAACATGTGGAGAGGCAGTCTGGTTAGGATATGAGGTACTTAACCCCCCAAATGGAGGTACTGTTTGGCTGTTTACTTGTGAGGCCTGAATCTGAAGCTCAGCAAGCATCATCTGCCTCTGAGTATCTTGATTTTGGGTAGGCTGTAACACAAACAAGTGGGATGCACAAGTTATGTGCAGAACTTTAGGTGAAGTAATACAATGGTACAATATATGGGAACAAAAATCCCTCAAGTGTGCAAATGCAGAGTCAAAAAAGCAGAAATAAGTTGGCAGGAATATTTTGTGCAATGACACCTACTAATTGTAAACAGAAAATGTTTAAAGCCAATGCTAACACAATATGAGTTGCATATCCAGACTATTTTTTATGTATAATATAATATATCCTTGTGCATGTCTCTGTGTAAATACACAACCCCAACAAGTCTATTGGTACAAGAATTCCAGAAACAAGTACGCAGATGAACACATAATATGAATTTACAGCATATAAGGGCATCAACAATGGTTTTATGATATTTTGGAATTTTTTGTGAAAGCATTTGCCAAGTTGGAGCAAAAAGAAAAAAAAAATTAATTAAAAAAAAAATCAGGTGCTCATCAGTTCTGACACGCCCAGCAGGCATGCGGCTGGGCCCAAGCCTTTCACGAACAAGTGTGACTTTTCATTTTTGACAAAAACTTGGGTTTTAGCAGTAAAACCCAATTCCTCTCTTCCAAATCAGCAAAAACTTCTTAAAAACTGTTAAGTGTTAAGAAAACCCCTATTGGGGTTGCTCTAAGAGAAGTAAAGCTCATTCTGTTGACTATCCTTTGTGTTATGATAACCTCCTTTTTATTGCAAAAAGTATTTGTTTATATAAGTATAGATCAAACAAAAGAATGGAGATAAATATCTGAAAATTAGAAATGACTAACCCGCATCATATGCATGTTTTCGCGAGGTCTCAACATTGAGTTGCCCTGACTAGAGCCTACTCCAGAGTGCATATTTACAGGGTTTGGCATTGCTACCATACCAGAAGAAGTCATAGTCCCAGAATTAAGCATAGATGGTGAGGCAATTCCCTGAAAGCCAGGCCTAGGTGTCGGCATGCCTCTGTTAATGCCACAGATCATCCCCATGCTATTTCCACTGGGTAGCATGCGGACACCACCACGATCAGGCCCTGGAAAAGCTCCAGGAGCAGGTGAAGTGGGTATGTTTCTCCCAGGTAGAAGTTGATTATAGTGGTGCATTCTTTGTTGTTCATCAACTGGTATAGATGCAGATCTAGATATAGCATATTTACCATCCCTATAAGCAGAATACCTATTAGGACTTGAGGTAACACAATTAAAAAAATGATTTCATATAATAATAGAAGCACGATGCCACAGTAGAAGACCTGTTTTAGTATGAGCATAAATTCATCCTTTACCTGACAGCTGCATTTAGTGGAATTGAAGATGATGGAAAGTTATTTCCATGAATCACATTTGGAGACCCTTGCATTGTTGCAGAATTTGCACCAGAAGCAGGAGGCATTGACCCCAAAGCCCCCTGACTTGGAACAGTTAATCCACTTGAATGTGGACCTTGGTATCCAAGAGGAGGATTGTCCAGACTAGATGAAGGTGCATCACACAGATCCAGAGGCCTTCAGTAATCAGTAAACAAATAAAGGTGAATATCCACAGAAAGAAAACAAAGTGTTCAAATCAAATTACACAAAATCTCAATTATGCACAAATGAGCAGGATCTCACGTCAAAACAACATTCGGGCTATTTGGAAGAGCTTGTGAAATAGCATTTATATGAGAACTGTGAGCTTGCAGGATTGGTTTTTGATCCTGGTTATCACCCTTCATAAAAAATGAAAAGATATTAAGAGAAGATATTACGGTCAATATAAATCCAAACAAGCATAAAGCAAACAGTGATTAGATAAAAGGTAGATCAGTGTCTGGACACCAAGGCTCATCCAATAGCAAACCTCCCCTTTCCCTAATTGAGTATTGGCATTTCTGATCTTGTGTTGCAACAATTCCTATTATGCCCAACACTTCACTGTAAGTGACCTCATGGGTGG